TTTGTAAGGCTAATCAAGATCAGAGTTTAGTGCTTAAGAAGATACTTGAGGTTTATGGGGCTGCTACAGGTCAAACCATCAATCACACAAAGTCTTCCATTAGCTTTGGATCTAAAGTGAATGATAACCTCAAGCTTTGCATTCAGAACTCTTTAGGGATTCATAATGTTGGGGGAGCAGGGACCTACTTGGGTCTCCCGGAGTGTTTTAGTGGCTCAAAAGTGGAAATGTTAGATTATATCAAAGATCGTCTCAAGACAAAGCTTTCTGGGTGGTACTCTCGCTTTCTGTCCCAAGGAGGTAAAGAGATCTTGCTGAAATCGGTAGCCCTTGCCATGCCGGTGTTTGCTATGTCTTGCTTTAGATTACCAAAGACTACATGCTCAAATCTCTCGAGTGCAATGGCTGAGTTCTGGTGGAGCTCTCTTGAACATAATAGGAAAATTCATTGGTTAAGCTGGGAAAAGTTGTGCCTACCAAAAGATAAAGGTGGTTTGGGATTCAAGGACATTCAGCTTTTTAATCAAGCTTTATTGGCAAAACAGGCTTGGCGTCTCTTGCATTTTCCAGATTGTCTGTTCTCAAGAGTTATGAAAAACAGGTATTTTCCTGAAGTTCATTTTCTTGAGGCGTGTTTAGGTCAGAGACCTTCTTTTGGGTGGAGGAGCATTATTCATGGTAGGGACCTGCTTATCAAAGGGCTGCAGAAAAGAGTTGGAAATGGTGCTTCATTAACTGTATGGGTGGATAGATGGCTAGTTGATGAGGATGGCCTAAGAGCTCCTTGGATTAAAAATCTTTTTATTGATCCTGGACTAAGAGTTAAAGATCTCATTGATTTTGAAAGGAAAGATTGGGATATTGACATTTAGAGGATCTCTTTTTCTCTGATGGTGTTGCAAAAATTAGGAAAGTTAAACCGGTGGTTGACTCTGATGATTTTTGGGTCTGGAGATATAACAAAAGTGGTTTTCTGACGGTCAAGTCAGCTTATTGGCTAGCTATGGAAAATAACACAAATGAGGCTTTGCAACAGGCTAATTTTCTTCCTTCAACAAACCCTCTAAAGGAACAGGTATGGAAATTGAGTACTGATCCAAAGATTAAAGTTTTTCTTTGGAAGGTGTTAAGTGGTGCATTACCTGTGGCTGATAAATTGGCGACGAGAGGAATGAAGATCGATCCTAGATGCCAAACCTGTGGGTTTGAGGGTGAATCTATTGAACATGTTTTCTTCTCCTGCCCTTTATCCAGGCAGATTTGGGCCCTTTCAGATTACCCGGCACCTGAAAATGGTATGTCTTCTGGATTGGTTTTCTCCATTATTCAACACTTCCTCATTAATAGAGACAACTTGAGATGGCCTGCTGCTCTTAGGAAGAGTTTTCCCTGGATAATTTGGAGAATCTGGAAAAATAGGAATCTTTTGTTTTTTGAAGGAAAGATTTTTTCTGCTTTGGAGTCTGTGGAAAAGATTAAAAATGATGTTGAGGAGTGGTCTTTGGCTCAGGAGGTAGATATTGAAAGGGGTACTGTAATGACAAGTGCTGATGTTGGAAGACCTAATGCCCAGATTATGGCAGTACCTCGCTGGACGCCTCCACCCATTGGTTGGGTAAAATGCAATGTTGGTATGGCGTGGTCAAAAAGGAACTTTTTGGTTGGATGTGCGTGGGTTCTTAGGGATGATAAGGGATTTGTTTTGTTACACAGTAGGAGAGCCTTTACAAACATCAGTTCTAAGGATGAGGCTAAAAGGTTAAGTGTGGTTTGGGCAATGGAAAGTATGATAAGCCATAGAGTGAACCATGTTTTCTTTGCTCTGGAGGATGCTGAATTAGTTGGTGCTGTTCTTAGGCCAAACGCGTGGCCATCTTTCAGATATCAATCTCTTGAAATGTTTTCCTTGCTTAGGTTAATTCAAGATTGGAGACTTGAGTTAGAAGAATCGTTAGCCAATAGAGGAGCCTCTCTCATTGCCAAAAGTGTCATTAGAGACTGTCGGTTACAGTCGTATGTTGCGGTTGGTCATCCGACTTGGTTATCTTCTGTGTTTTATGATGAGAGAGTTTAGTCCTCTGTTTGTGCTTTTTGTGCAGTGCTCTGCGTCCTTCTCAATGTTGGAATTTTTGGTAAAGGCCTGTTTCTATAAAGGTGCTTAGTTTAGAATTTTGTTTGAGGAGATTTCCCTTTTGTTGTACCCGTCGGGGTTGTATGATACTTTGGTTTCCTCTATTAATATAAATATGACAACAGATGACAAAAAAAAAAAGAAAAATGAAGCAAAGAGATAAAATAAAAGAAGAGCTTTCAAGCCAGCGACGTATCATTTTTTTTAATAAATTATATTGATACCGTATTTGAGCTTATAAACGTTAGGTCGTTCAAAAGTGACTAAGCTTAAAAATTATTTGTGAAGTGGCTAACATTTTCTTAAACATAGATTTTAAGCGCTTAATGTGTGATTGGTAATTTACGGACCTAATTAATTGTGAACCTTATTCGATACTTAGTTCTTCAAACAAACAAAAAAACGAATGCATTTTAACGTGAAGAAAAGGCAAATAATTACTGTGTTTATACGAAACTGTAAATAATGATATTTTTTTGGCCCAATCGTTGCCTAGGGAGTCGAGCTTTCTCTCTCGCGTGCAGACGACTGTTTAGATCTAGATCTGTCTGTCCTGTTCTTTGAGCTTCATCGCTGGCCGCCGGCTTGCCTTTCGAGAAACAGTGGTGAGGCGGATTCCATCTCCGTCAATGGGTGTGGTGTCTTCTCCGGCGATGTAGCGGTTCCTCTGGTTTGGCGGTGGAGATCTCTGTGCGCTAGGCCTCGGTTAAGGACGCTGGTGGCTGTATCGGAGATCCCCAAGGCTCAGCCGGCAAGCTTGACGGAGCAGCTACGGCGGAAGTCGTTGGGGGAGCGGTGGGTTATATTGTTGCGTTTGGTAGTTAACGACTAATCCCGGCAAGATTGGTTGGCTACCGCGGATCTCGGGTCTAGAGGGTCTTAGTGAGCCGTTAAGCCTCTTGATCCGCCGTGGTGGTGTCTACTAAACCGGATTGATGGGATTTCGTCTCGGAGGAATTCGGAGCTTCCGGTGGTGGTTTGGGAGGTTAGATCCCAGTTTGTTGGTTGCTTGGCATGTGACCAGACAACGTGGAGCCGGTCGTCGGGGAGTTGCGCATACCGGGAAGAGTGTGGTGGGTTTGGTGCGTCGGCGGCGTGAATTCGTCGGAGGGAACCGGATTCTCCCACCGTGTTTTTCATGTCTCCGATGCTGCCACAAAGCTGTCCTCTTTGAATCCCCCGGAGATTGTGCCGCTGACTCTTTCGCCTCCGGTCGTCAGCAAGATCCGAGTCTCGAACCGTCGCCGGCGTTAGGTTTCCGTTTTCCTTGTTTTTGTAACTGTGGTTTCGTTTGTAGGCCCAAAAGCCCAAGCCCGTTATGGGATTTATTAATATAATTTTAGTTTTTAAAAAAAAAAAAAAAAAAAAAAAAAAAAAAAAAAAAACTGTAAATAATGTCAAAGGAGATTTACAGAGATTTAATAATCAAAAGAGAAAAAAAAAAAGCAATAATCAAAAGAGATTTACAGAGATGAGACTGATGTGATGGGTTTGGTTGGGTTGGTGGTGGACTGTACAGACATAGCTTCCACTTTTCCTATAAATTATTTTCACTCTCTCTTTTTGTTTTGAGAATAACTTTGTTTGTCTATTCGCCGAGGAAAATCTAGTATATTGTTTATACTAAAAATGTTTTAGTTACCAAGTGTGGTTAATTAGTTTAACTGGTAAAGATTCTATGCAAATTTTAGAGATCGCCGGTCCGAGTGAAATTTGGGACGAAACTAATATTACATGTTGTGGTTTCGGGTCTGAGTGGATTAACCTCCTGAAATTCAAAAAAATAAAAATGCTTTTTGGTTCCATTATTAATTAGTAAGTTAATGTCCATGTTTAGAATTCTGGTAGGTGCTAGTCTTGTATTCGGGTTGAATCTTGCTCCTAGTAAAAAAGTCGGAAACTAATCAAAGATTATCGGAGACTAATTTAATATCATTGTCTGAATGGTGATGATATAAAAATTTGGATTCGATTACTCACTAAACTAACTCTTACAGTATACTTTTTCACTCTTAAATTTAAAAACAAAGTCAACACCTAACCACTTAGAAACAAAAAAAATTCTTCAATTGTTTTAAACTAATAAAATCCAAAACTGAACCACAAATCATAAAAAGAGGAAAAAAAAAATGACCCGCTGCATTCAAATATCCGCCAAGTCCCTTTCTCCAATTAAGGCTTAGTGTGTAAATTAGTTGTTGACTACTTTTGTGTTTCTCTTTTCTTACGAACTACATACTAAAATATTTTTAGCCAAATTTTAGCGCCGGCAAACTCAATAGTTTCTGATTAAAAACACTAAACCAGATATAAAACAACCAAGAAGAATAAAAAATATAACCACTACGAGATACACCAATTTTGATTGATATATAGACTTCAAACCACACAAAATTTGGACTTTTTTTTATTACCTACGTACACAGACTAAAAAACTTGATCAACAACCACACAAAAGCAATTGTTGTCCTCTGAAATTCTAACATACAGTTTATGATCCAGATGAATGCTTAATATGAGACAAAAGACTTCTGCATATATTCATAGCCTTAAAATAGATCCCATAACTTGCACCTACAATCGTGGTATATCTATAATTTATTGTTATATCTATAAAAAAAAAATCACGGTAATTTTGATCTCATATTAAAATGATAGCAGTTTTTGTTGACAATTTTGTTTTAGTGATTCTTCGTGGTCAAACGAGCCAATATCTAGCAACTAAACAACAAAGCCAATATGGAAATATGAAAGCACTAAAAAGAATATAAACGAGAAGCATTTAGTGTAGTGTTTTTAATTTGCTTTAGGAATCATGTAAAAGTTATTAATGGTAATAATAAACGAAGGATTAGTAAATGTGGTCACTTTATAAAAAGAACAGAAAATGAGAGGTGCATTGTCAAATCTATCGCATCAAACGATACTTTTTCATATAGTTTTAGATAAACATCAGAGAACAGTCCTTGAGTAGGTTCATAGACACCGTCCTACACTTGGAAACTTCAATTAATTCTTCTCTACCCCACTTTTATTATTAATTTATCAATTTCTTCATGCACTCAAATGTATTCTTTGTAAGTTGAAACTTTTCTCTCATTATTTGTACAAGAACCCAATGGGCTTTAGTCTCTAATATTATAGATTCGACCCTCTCGTTCTACAATTGTTAGAGATGGTTACACTTACTTGGTTTACACATATATAGTCGCTCATAGTTTCCATTGATGCCTTGTTTTCTCTTGTATACTTGTTATTGAGAACCAAAGAATAAAAAATCAATTGGTTGCTAACAAGTGTAACATGTCATTAGCATGGATGGTAATTTAATAATGATGTTATATATAGAATATTTAAACTGAATCAGTATTAATCTCGTCGAAGAATTTTCCCGGTTTACGAATAACCAAGATATCTATAAATAGTACAATAAACTTTATTCCCATACAGTGTGGTCCCTTGTCTATTACCATGCAAAATTTGAGTTTACGACAAATAACACAAAGTTAAAAAAAAACCTCCATGCGTGAACGACACACCACAGTCATATAAAGAAGCACTAAGTTACTACGTCATAATCTAATTGGTTCAGTCTAGTGAATAAAAACGACGGAACAGTAGTCACTCTCTTAGTTAAGTTTCCTGAGCAAACAAATCAAAACCTCTTTCTCTCTTCTTCTTCTTCTTCTTCTTCTTCTTCTTCTTCTTCTTCTTCTTCTTCTTTAGTGGTTTCTTTGTTTCGTGATTTTAATAACAATGGCCAAATTTGACATTAAAAGTGGTGGTATCGATCTCTATCCGGAGATGAAAGAGAGTTCAGAGCTTCGCTGGACTTTCATCAGAAAAGTTTATGTCATCTTGATGCTCCTTTCTGCCTTTTATCTCGGAGTAACCGCCGTTGTTTCTTTCGTCGATCTCATCACCAATCCCGACCACCCCCTCGACTTCTTTTTCGTCTTCGTCGTGCTTCATATCCTTCGTTAAGTCTCCTTTCACATATTTCGTTTTTTAAAAAAAAAAATTCAGTTGATCCTTCGATTTCTTGCTTAGTTAGGGTTTATAGCTATGCTAATTGGGTTAACTATTCTCTACATTTATCCAATTTTTCGGCATCATCGTTGCTTATTTAGGGTTTTTGAGTGACTTTATTTGTGGGAATGCGATTCACCAAAAAAGCTCGAGATTCTATCGATATAAATCTATGAATCTACAACCAATTAAAGTGTAGTTTTCACTTTAGCTACACTTGTTTTGTTGATCTTGTACAATTTTAATTGTTTTGTTAATTCATCGCTTGAATGCTTATAGATTTGATGGTGTTTGTGGTGTTGTGGCACTCTTTGCTTTTCTTTGAGCTTTAAGTTCCAAAGAATCAGTTTCTTGAGTTAATTGGGAGTGAACATTAATTGTTAAGAACAATAAAAGTGGGTTGTTGTATTATTAATGTTATTGTCATGATTAAACATTGTTCACAGTGAAAGAACTAGCAGAAACTAGAAAGGCATGGGGAAACTAATTAAAGAGAATGCACGAGAAGATGAGACAGAGATCCGACTAGTCCAAGCTATAAGGACGTGTCTCAAAACCTATCTATGATTTGTTCTTGAATTTTCTAGCGTTTGATTTGTATGTAATTGTTGAAGAATCTATGGTATTAATCGTTCTCTTTTAAGAAGATTCTGAATGAAGTCTCTGTATTTTGTGGTTATGTTTAATGACTTCAAATTCTGTCAAAACTGGTTTGAAGTTCTGCGCTTTTATTATTTTATCAATTTCTTCATATGTAATAAAATGGTATAAGTTCATAATTCTTTGTAAGTTGTAATTTTTCTCTCATTATTTGTATAAAAACCTAATGGGCTTTTAGCTAATTGTACGTTGGAGTCGCCCATAGTTTCAATGAATTTCAATAGGCACCAAATTATAGATTTGGTCTTCCCGTTCTATTGTTGTTTGAGATGTTCGTTGGTTGGGTTACACATAGTCGCTCATTATAGTTTTCATTGATGCCTTGTTTGCAATTAGCAGCCAATGATTTTTTATTCTTTGTTTCTCAATAAGAGTCCATGTTCTTTCATTAGTAAGGAGTGAAATTTCGTCATCCACCATTTCTTCATATTTTGATATCTACAGTTGCAACTTCTTAGATTGTTTGGTAGGCTTTACATACCCTCCATCTTGGGTCATAGACTCATAGTAACCCATATATATGTTTATTTTTCAAAAGCTAGATAGTAGTTTAATAAATTTCTAGCCCTGTAACTAGATAGTAGTTGATACTCGTTCTGGTCTCATGAGTACTATACTTCTATATACATATATATATATATATATATATATATATGTATCTATAGTATGTTGATATAATCTTTATTTTCAGGTTCACAATGTTTATCTGTTTTCTCAACTAACTCCATTTCCAAAATTAATCGACTTATCTTTATACAATGTATCTTCTTCTTCTTTTTTCTTTTTTTAATACAATGTATCTTCTTAAAATATACTAACATGACAAATGACACAATTTTTTGGCCTTTTATCAGTGAGATTCTAACTTTTTTTTACACCATTTCGATATCCTACAAACTCTTATTTCTTGACTTTTGGGTTAAGTATAGACTTGCCTTGATCCACATGTACAAGCTATTTAAAAAACCAAACCTTTTGAGATTAAACAAAGCCTTAGTTTAGTAATTAATAACCAAAACCATAAGATTGGTTAACGTTTTTTTGCTAAATGAATCTAACGTATGTAAAGAAGAAACTCTACCAATTCATATATTAAAAGGAATAACAGATTATGAATTGTTTCACTACTATTATATGTCTCTTTTTAAGTTAAATTTCGATTATACAGTGATCTTTAATTTCTAAAACAATTAAAATCATACATTAATTACACTTATATATATCTTTAAAAAGAAAAATTGTCATAGTATATATACGCAATTAGTTGATATTACCAAGTATAAAGTTAGGTAACAAGTGTAATGTCATTAGCATGGTTGGTACTGAATAATAATGATGTATAGAATTCACTGAATCGGTATTAATCTCGTCGAAAAGAATTAAAATATATAGCATTACAATTTACATATTTATATCTATAAAGAAACTTTATTTCGTATAGCATAGTCTCCTTTCCATTTCCATGCAAAAATCTTGAGTCACGACAAATAAATAAGACAAAAATAACCCGTTACACCACAGTCATAAAGCAGCGCCAGGTAGGCTACGTGTCTTAATTCCATTGGTACGTCTCGAGAAGCAATATGACAGCGCAGTGACTTTAGCATAACCCGTAACTTACCTCTTGATTCTGGAAAAATGAACTTTCCCGGCAATGTTTTGGTTACACAGTCACAGTCAGAGTCACACACCCGCGAAAAAACGCCGTCCTTTGTATTCCACGTGGCGAAACATAATTGGGTAGTTAGATTAACCACAGTGACGGAACAGTAACACCAGCATTACCCTTTAATTTTCCAGTCACTTTCTTTCTAGTTTCCTGAGAAAATCAAAAACCTCTTTCTCTCTTCTTCTTCTTCAGAGCTTTGTTTCTTTGTGATGTCAACAAAAATGGCGAAATCTGACATTGAAACTGGTGGTGGTAACGAGCTTTATCCGGGAATGAAAGAGAGCTCGGAGCTTCGTTGGGCTTTCATAAGGAAAGTTTATAGCATTTTGTCTCTTCAGATGCTCCTCACCGTCGGAGTCTCCGCTCTTGTTTACTTCGTCCGTCCGATTCCTGAGTTCATCACAGAGACTCACCGTGGCCTCGCCGTCTTTTTCGTCATCCTCATTCTTCCTTTCCTCCGTTACGTCTCCTTTTTACATATTTCGTTTTTTTTTGGTTCTTTCTCTTGTTGATCTTTCGATTTCATGCTTATTTAGGGTTTGTGCTATGCTTGATTCATAATCGTCGCTTAGGGTTTTGAGTTACTTTATTTGTGCGATTCACCAAAAAAAAGCTTTGGATTTGATCGATATAGTGTTCACTTTAGCTACTCTTGTTTCGTTGTATCTTCTATAAAGCTATTGTTTTGTTAGAGTGATCTGGATTTTGATGTGATCTGGATTTGATGTGTTTGTAGTGTTGTGGCCTCTGTTGGCTTTTGAGAAGAAGCATCCCATAAACTGCATTGTCCTATCCATCTTCACGCTCTCCATTTCCTTCGCTGTTGGGATTTGCTGCTCTCTCTCCAAAGGTATGGATACAGAGAATCAGAGATATATCATACTTGGTCTACTTGTTGGAGTGATGACAAAAGACAGATTGTCTCTAATACATTTATAGTCTTGGATTTTTCATTGTGGATATAGTGTTTGCATCTAGATCTTTGTTTCAGATGCAGTCTTGGTAATGATCTGAAAAAGAAGATCAGGGCAAGAGATGTGATTCATGCTTTTTTGGTCAAGAAACTTATTTAAGCTAACTCTGTTTTCTATAACTAGAGTTACACTATTTTATTGCAAAAGAACAATGTGAATTTGATTGATGGTTAGATCTAATTTCCAAGTCTTGTGAAAACAGGGAGGATTGTTCTGGAGGCTGCAATTCTCACATCTGTGATGGTCTTTGGGTTGACAATCTACACCTTCTGGGCAGTGAAGAGAGGACATGATTTCTCCTTCCTTGGACCATTCCTCTTTGGTGCACTCCTCATTATCCTCGCCTTCACTCTTTTGCAGGTACTAACTAAACTAACTCTCAATCAATTCATAGTTTTGGGAGTATTGAGATATATATTATTACAAGGCTAAACAATGAAATGAATGCAGATATTTCACCCTCTCGGGAAGCTATCTTCGATGATATTCAGCGGAATAGCTTCGATCGTGTTCTGCGGATACATCATCTTTGACACAAACCAGCTTATCAAGAAACTCAACTACGACGAGTATATCCCTGCCGCGATTCGTCTATACCTCGACGTTATGAATCTCTTCCTCAACCTCCTCGGCATCATGAGCAACACTCAGTGACATGTAGTTCATCTTCTCTGATGACTGATGGTGTCGTTAATATTAGACAAAGATTTATCGAATATTAAGAACACATTAATATAGATATTGTGAGTGTTTATGGCTTGATAACCTTGTTAACACTACCAAAACATTCTTCTTAAGTGTTTGCATGTGACAAATGATTTATTTGTCTTCTTGTGAGTATAAAAATATGCTCAACTTCTATTTGCTTAATGGATATTTCAACAATAATGGGACAAAAAAGAAGCATATTTGATGTTCCCAATAAATAGAGAAATTGGACCCATCAATTTTAAAATATATATCTACTTCAACTTTTTTTTTTTTTATACAAAAAGACCACCAACAACAAAACAAAAAACTAAGAACATAGAAATTACAGATCACCACCCCCACTAAGTTTTGTTTACCCAAATCCTTCCCTCACCTTTGTGTTGAAATCTTGACTGGTAGGTCCATTTTGTCCTATACCCAACCCAAAAAACCATTACCTTAAAAAGAACCCCTAAAATTTAAAACTGATGACCACATAAGTTATAAAACTCACACTTAAACCAAGCAGCCATTGAACATATTTATTCACATCCTAAACTTCCTCTCAGCAGCAAGAACAAGAAGCCTTGACACACCTTGAGTCCACATTTCATACTCCCTTTGGCTTTTGACTTCGAATTCAACATCACCTCGCATAACCGTCTTCAAACCGAAGTATCTAAGATCATCTCCTCCCTCTAGCAAATGTCGTCCGGGCCAGGCCGGGACATTCTTGATTACATCAAGCACAATGTCTATAACAAAATTGGAAGATAGTAAAATAATTAATAAAAGAGTCTTCAAGTTCACATTCAAAAGAAACACAAAAAGTAAAAGATTGAAGGGATTTGATCCTATAGTTACTTTAGTAACATATACACTTTTGCTTTTTCATTTGTTTTTCCTTTTTCGTCTCAAATCCCCAAATCCAAAGCAGACCCACCGCAAAGTTTTGAATTCTCTTTACCAGGGTTCTCACATATAATTGACTCATTGACAGTAGATAGTGACAAAAAGTTAAAGCTTTCAATATCAAACTAATCAATCAAAAAATATCCTTTGTTTTAAAACCATTAGAAGAATCATCTTCAATGTCTTGGAAGGAATTAGAGAAATCTCCTACCATTCTAATCAGGTTTTACGGAGAGTGATGTTAATTATACTTATATATGTAATAAGAGTAAATGATCACTTACTCTTTTTCTTCTTGGTGAAGGTTCCTCCAACATGCCTGCTCTTCATCTTCAACATAACCTATAAATACAAGAAATCAAAACAAAATTAGTGATTCTCTAAGAGATGCTTAAGCAAAGACAAAAGTGGATCCCATGATTTCAGTATCATCATCATTTTCATAACAGTGCTTTTTTATTTTAGCTTTAGTATTGTTTCTGCTTTCTCTTCTTTTCCTGCCGTTTGAAATATCTCTTTTCTCATCTTTTTGTGTGTTTCATATAACAAAGTTAACATCCATGTGAAGTAACTAAAGATTCCCACTGATTCACAAATAATTTGGCTCTCTCTTTAATCTTTTTCATCAGATCAACGATCATTTCTAAAGTGAACCGAAACTCGAGGCACCATAGTAAAAAGAATCTTTACCTGATTCATCTTGTTGATGTAAACAGATACTATCTTCCAGTGGAGATCACCTGCAAAAGTCACACAACATCATTAGACAAAAGA